TTCAAACCCTGTAAGTCACAAAATCAATTTAGTAGATAATAGTTCTTATCTTTTGCTTAATAAAAAAAATAGCTAACACAGATTTGGTTTATAAAGATAAATAGGAATAGAAAACATCAAAGAGACCGCACTTAGTTTTTGTTCTTTTTTTTGTAGATGGGAATGTATTTCTTACCATATATATTTATCCAATATATTTGTCAAATATACTTGGGAAGTGGATACATTTTGGAAGTACAGCTGCTTTAAAAATATTTTTATTCTCATTTCTTTTTTAATAAGTTAACTGTCTTTTGTTATAAAAAACACAATCTCACTGGGCGCCAGTGGCTCACGCCTGTAATCCTAGCTACTCAGGAGGCTGAGATCTGAGGATGGAAGTTCAAAGCCAGCCTGGGCAGGAAAGTCCTGAGACTCTTATCTCCAATAAACCACTCAGAAGTGGCGCTGTGGCTGTGGCTCAAGCGGTAGAGCACTAGCCTTGAGCTGAAGATCTGAGGGACAGTGCCCAGCATTCAAGCCCCAAGACCCACAAAAAAAAAAAAAAACAGAATCTTGTACATCCCTTTTAGGACATAATTTCAATTAAGAGCAATCACCTGCAGACCATGTTTAACTTCTAATTTATTTAATGTTTTGCAATATTTTAAATTTCTCTAGAAGCTCATAAAATCTATCTCATCATAAGAATTCATTTCTACAACCTTCTTACTATGTAAAGTTATTTAACAACCTAGATCCTCAAATTGATTCACATAATATTGCTTTGTTTTCTTGTAGATATATAATGCTTCATGGTATTTAATAGTTTGTCTTTCATTTCCTCATTCTCAATCCTCTATGTATACTTTTAGATTGATAGATTAATTGATTGATTGATTGATGCCAATCCTGGGGCTTGAATTCAGTGCCTAGGTGTTATCCTTTTTACTCACGGTGAGTGCTCTACCATTTGAGTCACAGCTCCACTGCTGAGTTTTTTGGTGCTTAATTAGAGAGAAGAGTCCCAAACTTTCCTGCCCTGGCTGCCATCAAACCCTGATCCTCAGATCTCAGCTTCCTGAGTAGCTAGGATTACAGGTGTGAACCACCAGCGGCAGATGACAGAATTTTTTTAACTGGAATACCTTCTTTAGCATACCCTTGTATACTTGGCAATTCCTATCATATCATTTTCTTTGAAAGAAAATAAATGAAAACAATACTCATTAATACATGCAACATTTCTCAGTATAATCTCTACATTTTTAAATGATGTAACAGTAAACTGATATTTTAGGGAACTGTAATTGCCTTCTAAAGGATAATATGATCACCTATGAATGCTGAGTGAAAGTATACTCAAAAGTTTCCTCATGTATGACTTAAAATACAGAAATATCTACAGTTTGACACATTATGTGATGACTGCCCTTAAGGTAGCCAAAACCTACTGATGGAATTACAGCCACATAATCTTTAAGCTGGAAGAACCTCTGGCCAGTCTTAGTCCTTAGTACCTTCTGAGTACTGTTTCTCAAAGTATAGCCTGAGGACCATGTACATCTGATTTATCCAAGATACATGATAGAACCAAAGTAGTGAAATTATAATGTTTTTATTAAAGTTGTACTTGTTTTCATTTCATAGTGAGAATAAAGAATCTGAGTAAAAATATAGGAGAGGAGGTATGACTCAGAAATTCTTTAAAAGTGCACTAGATGGTCAAATCAAAAAAGCAAAAACCATGAAGTAGACTTCTGGAAGTTCAAGAAAAGAAATTTTTCCTTAATTGCCAGCTAAAGTTTAAATTATAATTTACAAATTTTCATTTATGGTGAGAAAAATATATCAAAATTAATTCACCTGTTAATTTGAATATCACAACTGTAAATATTTTCAACATTTCTGTAAGATCCTAATAATAATCTAGGGGTTTCCTTTAAATTGACCAAAACAAGTACATTTGTAATGACACTATTTTCAAAAAGTTTTTTTTTTTTAAACAGAGTTGATCTGTGAAACATTTACTTTCCTAAGATTTCTAATATAAAGTAACTAATATGTATGGTAAGATAAACTATAATATAGCTCTTGGGGCTGGGAAGGTGGCTCAGTGGTAGAGCGCTTGCCTTGCATGCCTGAGGCCCTGGGTTTGATTCCTCAGCACCACATAAGCAGAAAAAGCCGTCCGTGGCGCTGAGGCTCAAGTGTTAGAGTGCTCCCCTTGAGCTGAAGAGCTGACAGTGCCCAGGCCCAGAGTTCAGGCCCCACGACCAACAAAATATATACATACATATATATATTATATATATATACACACACACACATATAGATATGGATATATATATTTATATATAGCTCTTGCTTTTACCTACACTCTTCATGACATACTTTATGTACGCTAATGACTAATAATTAGAAATGCCTTTCAATTCTATTGAAAAATATAGCTTTTTATTATTATAGCTCTGAATTACACATTATTTTCAGACTTTTTGTTATCTCTCTATTAAAAGCAAAGTTATCTCCCAAACTATTATAGTCTCACAAAATATGACATTCCTTCAAAAATTTGCATCTGAAGATAAATGGACTTTTTTTTAGACTAAAATTTCTGTCTTTTTAGATTATCCAAGTCTCTGGTGAGAGTATCCCTAAAACCACTCTAGTATGACCAAAGATGTAATACTACAAAGCAAATAGGCCACCTTTATAATAGCATTAAATATGAAATGCAAACTAAGGCTTCAGTTTCAGAACTCAATAGAGATATGTAGAATAAGGAAATGGGAAGTTTGAAAACATTTGATAATGGAGAAGCAAGAACTTCATTAAATTCTTATTTTGAGAAGTAAGCCTCACACCTAATAAATACATTTAAGATGCAAATAACTGGTAATTCATTAACAAGGTGGCTTTTTTCAGATTTTAGCAAGCATTTATTTTAGTATAACGAGATTCAGGTAGAGAGACACAGAGAAGGGAGAAAAACATTTTCTAGTCACAATTCAAGAAATGGGAATTAAAGACTCCACAAGAGGTTTGTTAAATATGTCCATTCCAAAAAAAAAAGGTACTGGTGGCTCCTGTTTTATAATCCCTATCTCCTCAGGAGGCTAAGACCTGAAGGATCATAGTTTGAAGCAAGCCCAGGCAGAAAATTCCTTAAGAATTCCAAATAACAAGCACAAAAAAAGGGAACTGGAGGCATGGCTCAAGTGGTAGAGTGCCAAGAGCACAAGGCCTTGAGTTCAACCCTAGTTCTAGGACAAAAAAAGCGAATGAACTACAACAAAAAAATCATCATTCCAAGTTTTCTACTATCAAAACCACTTCCTGACTTCAAAGAGAAAGACTGTGGCTGAAAATACTGTTTTAATGAAGCAGTCATTTAAAATCTTGAAATGCAGGAGTTCTTCAGATTGCTTTTATTCTAATATCAATGCTTATACTAATTTCTGAATTGGGTACATATTTATCCATAGAAAAAGTAACATTAAAAGTTCGCTAAGTAATGAACTTCAATGTATAAATGTATGTTTTGGAATACTACTTCTATCTGTTGCAAAAACAAAAACTTCCTCCTAAGTAAGTTTAAAAAGAAAATGACACTGAAATCCACATACTTTGGTGTACACTAAATTCATCTTACAAGAACAATTTCATTGTGACTATTCCAATTGGCCTGTTATATATGTGACATATTATGAGATTTCCAATAAAAAGAACTACCTTGCTAGTGCCAGTAGCTATATAATCCTAGATACTAAGAAGGCTAAGAACTGAGGATCACCTTTTATAGCCAGCCGAAGCATGAGACTCTTTTCTCCAATTAACGAACAAAACCGAAAAGTAGAGCTGTCTCAAGTGATAGAGCACTAGCCTTGAGCAAAAAGTCAGGGACAGTGCCCAAGCCATGAGTTCAAGCCCCAGGCCTGGTACAAATAATGAAAAAAAAACCCACTAATTATGTAGAGTAATATTCAAATTCTGTAAATGTGTTGGATGCAGAGTTTTAGATTACCTACAGTCTTTATTGCCAAAGTATATTTTGTAACTGGGTGGAGACTACTACCAACGCCTGATCTTCAAACTCAATATATTTTATTAATATACCCAATAACTCACCTAGCAAAACAAATATAATATTTGAATTTTGTTATGGAAACTATTCATCTTCATGCATAAAACATAATCTCCAAATTAATATTGGTAAAATAAAAAAGTACTTCAGCTGCTTTTAACAATAGCTAAGGTGTTCCCTCAGAATGGGGGGAGCAAACTTGCCAGTCTTCTGCTCATTCTGTGGTTTCAAATGCTCTATAAATCTTCCTTTCACTACATCTCACAAACTTTTATCTACGTCTCACAAACTTTTCAGACACTATCCCTCATATATTTCACAGATTTTTCTATTCAGAAGGTATATATCTGGAAAAAAAATATTTTCAATCTCAAAGTCACTTTATTTTTTATAGAGATTATAGAGATTACTAAAATTCTTTTACTTTCTCCAACTACGTAAACTTTGAAAGAAATTATAGTCAGTTTTTAATTAAGTTTACACTTAAATTTACTGCACTATCCAATCCCACCTTTCCCAACTTAAAAACTGTTACTAGCCACAGGTTATTCAGGATGAGAGATGTGAAAAAGCAAGAGGCTTTCTGCACATCATAAACTGCAAGCTTCCTATGGTACTAATATATTTATTAAGCCTTCAACTCAGTGTAAAGTTTCATTATCAATTCAAATGCCTATCAGAAAACTGGTTTTCAAAGGGCACTTCTAGATAAACAAGAAGTGAATATTTAAACTATCTTAATAATAATAGCCTGGAAATGAGGTCTAAAAAATTAAGAATCATAAACTGACTCCTACTATGAGAAACTCAGTTAGGTAGGCTTTCTGGGGGTATGGTAACTTCAATAAAGCCTCTTCTTGGGTGAACAATAAGGGCTGTTATGTTATCACTAATCGCCCTCCAGCTTCCCAGTATGAACAGTTTGCATACTTACCCAGGAAGATAAATGGGAAGTACCCGGGAATAAGATGAACAGCAGCAAAGCCTTTGTCGTATGACAGTGCCCTATAAAGTACAAATAAAGGGTGTATCATCAGTAAGGCTTTTCAGTAATAGGATCCCACATCCTATAGTACCTATGAACGAAAGACACCAAAAGCCAGCCCGCCAGTTCCCCACTAACTCCTTACCTTTCTCCACCCTGCGCCAAGCAAGAGCTGTAGGGACAAGAAAGGGAAAGCACAGAGGACAGGAGGACAGCCCGGCTGGCTTTCCAGGGTAGGGTCTTTCTACAACCCTCACTTCCTACCACCCCCCTCCCCACGGTACAAAGCAGAAAGTTGATCCGTTCTGCAGAGGCAAACCCACACTGGGATCATTCATCAACTTGCACAAGTGATCACCGCCCCCAGGATAAATACACCAGTACACCAAATCACAGAGATCGATAGGCAGGCAGTCGGAGAGCCTCCGCACAGTGCCCGGGAGCCAGCGGGAGGTGCCACCGCGGAGGCAGCCGGTCCAGGTATCGCGGTCCTCCAGCCTGGCAGACCCGGGCAGCCACAGCCACCTCCCAAAAATAAATAAATAAAGCCCGCTCCGGGTCCCAATCCCGAGACTGGAGATTGGAACAGACTGGAAAACACGTTCGCCAGAGCCCAAGGTGGAGAGCGCAGGGCCGGCGGGACTGTGGAGGTCGGGGTGGGGGGAGCTGGGAGGCGCGGAGGGAGGCCGGGAGGGAGCGGAGGATCCCACCCAGGCTTTGTTGCTGGTCACCATCAAGTTTGCATCTTAGTACAAAATGTCGATCTTAAAGGCTGACAAGACAGAAGCAAAAGGCAGAGGGAGAAAAGAGAAAGGCAAAGAGTCCATCTTGCTTTGGGGAAGAGGGAGAAGGAAAAATAATAATGATGATGAAGTGCAAAGCCCACCCACTGGGAGGAACGGGGGGGGGAGTCTTCCCAACACCTTTCCACCACGGAGGAGCAACGAGTGGGGTGTCCCTGTAGCCCATGCCCGCTCGAACTGGTGGCGGTCTGGGCAGAAAACGCCTCCCTATCCTCCTCTTCTTCCTCCTTCCCCTCCTCCCTTCTCCCGTCCCTCCTCCTCCCGTGCCTCCTCCTCCTCCTCCTCCTCCTCCTCCTCTTCCACCTCCTCTTCTCCGTCCTCCTCCTCCTCCCCGCGGGGCCCCAGCGAAGATCCCGCCGCCACTGCCTCCGCTGCCCCCCCCTCCTCCCGGGGAGCCACCACCACCACCACCGCCGCCGCCCGGCCCCGAGCTACCATTCCCAGCTTGGACCACGCGGCGTGGCGCGCGTGGGGCCGGGCTCTGGGTGGCCGCGCGGGGTCGTTCGCGCCAGGGACCCTCCGCGCCCCCTGGCCGCCGACTGGCTACAAAAGTCTAGGGAGGAGAGGAGGTGGTGGTGGTGGCGGCGGCAGCGGCGGGCAGGGGGGAGGGGGAGGGAGGATGCGCGTGGGAGGGGGACCCACGCCGCGAGTGGGTCACCCCGAGGGATGGCGGAGAGGCTCCCCTCCGTCCCCGCGCGGGGAAAGCAGCCCGGCCCCCGTCAGCCAGCCCCCCGAGAACGCCAGTCCGCGGCCGGGAGACGAGAACTGGACGTGTCATTAGCAGGACAGGCAATGGTTTCAAAGCCCCAGGCCAATGACCATTAACCGAGGCAGAGCTCGCTCGGTCCCCATCCCCCACCACCTCCACCCACCTCCTCCCCGGCGGCCCCCCCCACCTCCACCCCACCTCGAGAAACTTTTCAACAAGATCTACCTGGACGAATGTGTCCTCAGACAGTGGAAATACTGCCTAGACCCTACACACAGGGAAGGAAGGGGAATGCACGCTTTATTTTCCTTTCCACAGAAAGGAAAGCAAAAAATAGCTTTCTCTCTCTCTCTCTCTCTCTCTCTCTCTCTCTGTCTCTCTCTCCTCTCTCTCGCTCCCCCCCCTCCTCTGTCGTACATGTTGTGTCTTAGCTTTTTGCATCGTTTCGTTTTACCTTCCTCATTTAGCAGAAATGATCGCGGGTATTATTTCACACAGAAACGTGTTCCAGATTCTAGGATTCGAGGTTCTGGTCAATTACAAGACTCGGGTACGGTCTCAGTTACGTGAAGTTTCAATACAATACCCCCCGAAATAAATAATTTTTTACCAAAAAGAAATCATACACAGCGGAGGGTGAGCGAGCGAGACGAGGTGGAGCAGGGAAGGAGACCTCGGGTCTGATTTCTGTAATTTACTAGCGACCCGGATCGCAAGCAAATAACAGTGTAACACGAGTGTGGCTCCCGAGGACGGGGGAGCTCTTTCCAGAGGCGTCGACCCCATCCGCGGATAAAGGAGCTGCAAGTTTTCTGTCATCGCGACCAGGCGATGCCATAACTTACCTTCAGAATCGAGACTTTAAAACGGCCAAGGCCTTCCTCCTCCCCCCACCCCCACCCCCAGCCTCGCTCTCTCCACCTTAAACTTATTGACACAACATAATCCCACATTCAAGCAAAATCCTGACACAGCCTCCCTCCTCCTCTTCCCCCTCCCCTCTCTCCTCCCTCCCTCCCCCTCTCTCGCTCTCCCTCTTCCCCTCCCCTCTCCCCCCCTCCCTCTCCTCTACCCTTCTCCTTCTCTCCCCCCCCTCAGCTCCCCCCAAGTCCTCCCTCCAGGCTACCCTGGCACTAAAACCACACTTTCTCTACTCGCCGCGCGTTGGGTGAGGGGTGGGGGGTGGGGGTGAGAGGGCGCCGATCCTCGGGGCCCGGAACACCCCAACCCCAACTCTCCAGACGAACGAGCCACCGGGGCTACTGTTCCCGGTCACCAACGCACACGAAAACGCTCCGTGAATCCACGGAGGGCTGGGCTCCCGCACCTTCCTCCCCGGCCCCCGGCTGCCCAGGCCCCACCTCCCCCGGGCAGCCCGAGCCCAGGCTGGGGCTCACCACGTACTTTCACCGAGATGGAAGTTTGGGGCTCCCCGGGCGGCCACGAGCCCGCCCGCTCGCCCGTCCGCGGGTGTGAGGGCTCGGGGGTTGTTTTGTTGTGTGTGTGTGTGAGAGAGAGAGAGTGTGTGTGTGTGTTTTCCTCTCTCTTCCCTCCCTCCCCCCCCCTCCGGGCGGCTCAGCCCCGCGCCCCGGCTCCGTGCCCCCCTCGGGCGGCGCAGCCCTGCGCCCGCCGCGAGGTGTTGGTTGCAAACGCAGCCTGGCACCGGCTGGCCTAGTACTCCCCAGCCCGGCCCCCAGCCTCCCGCCCGCCGGGCACTGCCTGCGCGCCCCCCGCCGCCCCCGGGCCCGCCGGCGCGGCCGCCGCCACCCTCGCCCCCGGCCCACCTCGCCCGACCCAAAGTTTTGGCGGCGGGGGGAAAGTGCCCCCAGGGAGGCGGCGGGCCGGCGGCGGCTCCGGACGCGCGGGGTTCCCTCGCCTTCCTCAAGTCCACCCTACCGGCTGCTGCTGCCGCCGCCGCCGCCGCCGCCGCTGCTCCCGCCGCCGAGTCCTTGGGGCTGCAGCCCCGCGGCTCGCAAGTGAGGAGGAAAACAGAAAGTGCGGAGAGAGCGCCCGCGGAGGGCGCGGGGCCGGGGGGCGCCTACCTCGCGGGCTCGCCGGGCGCGAGGGCGTGTGTGCAGCTCGCCCTCCGCGGCCAGCCGGGGCTCCTCTATGGGAAAGTGCAGAGGAGCTCGCGGAGCCGCTCTGCCTCCGCTCCACTGTACGCTGCTCCACATACAGTACATGCAACCCGGAGAGACTGAAAACACTCATTTTATATAAGGCAGCCTGCCATTGGCCCGCGCCTTGACGGACAGGCCGCGCGGCCAAACAGGAGGCCCGTTACACCCAAACACACGCACACATACACACATTTTACTGAGACACACAAAGATCATCACATTTTTCTATTTTCTAATGTTCGGGACCTGTAGACAGTAGGAGAGGACAGGTAGCGAGGCCCAGCGGAGTTGAGGGGGCAGGGGGGAAAACCCTGTCTGTGCCAAGTTGCCAGGCTTCAAAGTGGTGTCCTTTTGACTTGGGAGGGTTATGGTAATAAACTACAACTCCACTGGATATGGAAGTGAGGGGGATTTTTCTGATCGCGGCTGTGTGGTGCCCCATGAAAGAGGCGTGCATTGTATTATGATTTTACAGCCTCGTCTGGCTAACAAGTGGCCAAGAAAGGCTTTTATCAGCCTGAATTTCTTTTGTCAATGGGCCAGCTATCACATAGGCCAAAAGAGTGCAAGATAAGTTTATTAGGGCTATAATCTGCTGGGGTTGATAGTGCCTCACTCCTAGGTAAAATCAGGGGGAAAGAAAATCAATGCAACGAACAGAAACAACGATAAACATTTTACAAAAAATAGCCAGTCTACTTTCAGCTGGTCAGAGGAGTTCAATCACCTGTGCTGCAAACGTGCTATACAGTAGAAAAAGTGTGGAAGACTGGCAGTTGACCCTTTGCCTTAAAAATAGGCCTTTTTGTTGAATATATACTAGATTAATATTTTATCATGTATTTACATGTATGTGGCGTGGGGGCTGTGCACATACATTCATATGGTTTTTATTTTACATATTTTCCATCATATGTGAATACTATCTATGGTGTGACTTTGGAGATAGTGAACATGAGAGATAATCTTAGTGATTTTTTTTTCTCTATGCATCTTCGGGAGATTATATTTGACAGTCTTATATAAGCAAGTCAACAGGTTGTTGGGGGAAAAGCCAAAACTAGAAATTAAGAGGAATAAATTTTAGACTCAACTCTTAATTTAACTAGTTGAGTAATCTTCAGCGATATTTAGTCACTAATTCTCACAGTTGATTTTAGTTTGTATTTTAAGATTAAAATAAGCAGCTTTTCCCAGATTGCCTTCATTAAATGTTTATTCAGCATCTACTATGTGCCAGGCATATTATCCTAGGACCCAGATGTTTTTGTAAGGTTCCATCTGACTAAGAGTCTGTGAATTATTCTTAAACACAAATATTTTGAAGACGGGGTAAACAATATGATTTTATAGCCTAGATGCATAGCTTTAAAGTTAAAGGAAACCTGAATGAGAACATACTCCAAGTCCCCTTTTATTTCCATGATGCATCTTAAGTTTTTTTCTCACATCTGTAAAGATGACAGTTATCAAATGAGTGTACAAGAGTGGGGAAGGAAAAAACATAACTTTATAATGTTTAGAAAACAGTAATATTTACAAATATACTTATTTTTAAATGAAAATCATTTTCAGGGAAAGGATATAAAAATCCAGTATTTTCAGATAATATTATCAGAGGTTATAGTAATGACCTCTGCATTTAGTTGACAGAAGGGAAGTGTTCTTTATCGACGTTACACTGCTCTGAGGTCAGTATTAATAAGTATTAATGATAAGTATTAAAATAAGCATTATTTTTTCCTATCCATAAGACAAATGAAGACAGGACAAATTAGATAGGATGTTTGATATTGTACAGAATACCAGTAAAAAAAAAAATACTTAAACCCAGAACTTTCAATACTCAGCAAAGGATTTGAGTAGCTTAACAAACCTTTCTTCAAAATGACAAGTTTTAGGAATTAGATGCAGTTGGAAGCAAAACTTCCAACTCACTATGGTCTTTTTTTTAGAAAAAAAAAAGATTCACCAAGAATTACTGTATTTAACTGCTGGGTGTAGTATTAGCAATTATTTGCTAGTATGTATTTGTATATCTTGAAAAACATAAAAGACTAGCTTACTCCTCACTTTTACCCCCAAACTCCATCATAGGAAAACATACTTTATTTTTATTATCACAAAAACACTTTTGGCAAATTACTCTTTACTTTGAACAATTATTTAAAGCCAGAGCCCTCAAAACTTTAGGTCACACATTATTAGTAAAATGAACAGGAAGCCTTTGCATATGCACATTCATGTATACATTAAAATGTCACTACTTGAATGTTATTTATTGTTATAAAGAATATAGTCAGCAGAACAAAATTAAATAGAGTTTTTTTTGTTAACTTTTTTTT